CCATCCCTTAGCCCAGTTAAGTCAGCCCATACAAAGAACCCTCCCAGATGGGTTTGCAGTTACAGCCTCCATCTAGACTGATTTCCTTCTCTCCACTTCCTGCCACGCCCACGTATCCTAGACTTTAACCTTTGGACTCCTTCCCACTGCACTCCTAGGGTCAGCCCACTTCTCTGCCTTCTGCATCCTTCCTTCCTTAAATCTGAGCTTCTCCCTATGTATGTAGCCATCAGTTATGCTGAGTCAGGACTTTGCATCATTCACGCAGCCCCAGGGAATCCCCTCCCCCACCCTGCCGCAGGTCTGGGAAGGCAGGACTTCCTCAGAGGCAGGACCCATGCAATCAGGAGGAAGGGAAGAGCCCCAGCTTTTAAGGAAATGCATGTGGTGGCAACACTGGGAGCTCAGGGCTAAACTCCAATCTTAGAGGACAATGAATGAGAAACACTGAAGGACAAATTGTAAGACTGGATGGTTGTGGAAATGTTTACCAATGAAACATGTATGTGTAAGACAGCACAGTGACTAGAACATGGTAAGTATCCCAAGAAATATTAGGTGGTGTTCTTTTCATCATCCTTGAATACCAGAATGATGAGGGCTTGTGATAAAATGTAACAAAGGCAGCCTTTAAAAGCTAATGTTTTTTTTCCTAAGAACAGGGAGGAGACATTCAAGGCAGATGAGGCGATATTAACAAAAGACTGGGAAAGAGCTGAAGCCTCCTTTCTCCCTATTTTCTTACATTTCCTTTGTTAAAGGGAATACTCCTCAAGCTGGGAAGGTTAGCAAACATGATTATGGAGTAACTGAGACCCAAGACAGGTGATGCGGTGCTTAAGGAGAGCCCTGCTGCTTTACATGGGCTCAGCTTTCCTGATTCTAACTAAATGTATCTGAGAACTTTCTGGTGTGACTGCAGACACCCCCCTCCCCCGCATAAATACTGAGAAATCAGAAAGCTGCAAGGGATGGGAGGAAATTGGAATAGGAAAATGTTGCCCACACTTGAAAGTGGATTCCCGAAATTACAGATTGGTATGTGTGACACTGACGTGCAGTCACCTCTGTTTTGAGCCCTTATAGAAGATAGCAGGTGTTACTGTGGCCACTGTACTCAGTAAGGGTAAAGGGTCAAATGAACCTCATTTCCACTCTTGATGGATTGGTTCATGAAGACACTATATACACTGTATATATATATTCTTGGCAAAGCACCTGATGGAATCTTTGAGGATCTGTGGTGAGCAAGATAAAGAATTAAGGTTTAATAGGTTTAAATATAAGGCACAGAAAGGTTGGTATTTTTAACCATTGTCACACAGCTGACTTTTAGTAGAGCGAGGATTTGAAGTCAGAGAGCTTAACTTCAGGATATAAACTGTTAGCCATTATCACCAGAGCTGGTGTCTACAGATTATCGGGCTCACCACCGGCCCTCACATTTTAAGATGCTGACAGACCAAGGCAAGGGTGGCAGAGAGCTACCAGATAGGAGAGGCTAGAAATCTTACATAGGAAAATCCAGGGATTTCTGTACGGGATAAAAAATGACTTCGGGTGGGGTGGGGAGCCTGAGTAGCTCAGTCAGTTGAGCATCCAACTCTTGATTTCAGCTCAAGTCATGGTCCCAGGGTTGTGGGATCGAGCCCTGTGTCAGACTCTGTGCTGAGGATGAAGCCTGCTTAAGATCCTCTCTCTCCCTCTGCCCCTCTCCCTGGCTTACGCACACTCTCTACAAAAAAAAAAGGAAGAAAAAAAAATGACTTGTGGAGAAATGCAACATCTGCCCTCAAGCACTCAAAGAAAGGTCACATGCCAAAGCAAAGAGGTTTATTGGGCACAGAAGGATAAGGGCAAGTGATAGATTTCAATTTTCTGAGGATTAGAGAGTTATCCCAGACTGGAATCAGCTGCTTTACAAGGTACTGAGCTCCCTTGTACTGAAAGCATTCAAGCAGAGGCTGGACAGCTATCAGCCAGGCTTCCCGCTGAGAAGATACTCTCCCTCTTCTCAAGGTGCCTATAGCACTGCCGAGACGCACTAACTCGGCACCCCTGTTGCAACTGGTTTCATGATTATAAATTCCACACAGCTTTCTTGAGGTAATTTGCCCACTACACAGTTCACCCATTGTGAGAAAGCACTATGAAGGTTCCTAGCAAATGTATACAGCCGTGCAGCCATCGGCACAAGCCGGTTTCAGAACACGGCTTGCAGTTTTTGATTCCCAAAGAACATAAGCATCCAAGGTAGGTCGAGGAGTCCCCTGGCTGCAGTCTCCACTGGCCTAATAACGCAGCTCGAACCCCACACCCTGGCTCTTCCCCTCCACCCACCACTCATTCTTTTCTGTCAGCTGACCTGGTGCTGTACCTGCTGCTGTGAGCCCGGGGCCTGGACCTTCCCTAGCTGTCTCCACTGTGTGCTTTTGCTTCCTTCTCTCCCCACGTGCCAAGCTCTGCAAGCCAGTGTCTGGTCTTCGGCACAGAATCTGAGATGGCAGCGTGTTCTGGAAGGATATGAACCCTGGTGCCCCAGATGTGCATACGAATCATGGCCAGCCACGTGGCCTCAGAAAGTCACTTTAGCCTCTTGAACGTTGACTTCTCCCTTAGCAAAGTAGATGTAACACATGTGCCTTGCTGGCTGTGCATGGCAGAGATGATGCGTGTAAAGTGCCTAGAACGGCATCCATTATACTCAATAAATGGCAGTGATTACTGCTTTGCAATTATGATTACTGCTACTAATCCTGCTGCCACCTTTATTACTATTATTGGCACTCACAAGTCTTCTGCTCTGGGTGCCCATATGCCTCTCTCTTCCAGGCACATCCCTAACTGTGGTCCCCATTTCCTAGGTTTCTCCTGATGTTCGGGCAAGATGGATGCTCCTGACACTCGGAACCCTCAAGGCGCACCTCCACCAGAGCCGCGTGTAGGTCAGGGGATAAGGCTGCAGCACCACCTAGTGGCGATGAGCAGCAGCAAGTTATTTATTGGTCAAATTAGTAGCTGGTCTGACTGGACACTTTGGAGCCTTGAAGGTCACTGGTCCCTCCAAGGCTCGTGTGTGGGTGCTGTGTGCACCCTCCCCCTGCCATGCGTGGGAATAAAAGAGGATTTTAAAAAATTAAAAAATAGAAGAAAATTTCTTAGCATGGTAATCCGAGAGACCACAAGTTGTGACCAGGCAGTTGAAAAAGCATCCCCACCAAATCTACAGACACAGAAAGATCAGTGGTTAGCGGTTGCCTAGGAGCAGGGAGGGGGGAGGGGATGAAAGAGATGGGAAGCAAATGTTAAAGGGTATAGGGTTTCTTTTCAGAATGACGAAGATGTCCTAAAGTTGTGGTGATGGTCACACAGATCTGAATATACTGAAAAGCACTGACTGTATACTTTTAAATGCGTGAACTGTAGCATATGTGAATTATGTCTCAATAAAGCTGCTACCAAAAAAAGGTGAGAATACTGAAACTTTCAAAGGAAAAAAAATTTCATCTCCACAGCATATCATCGGATTTTGTGTGAACTACTCGACAAATTTCATCAGACCTCTGGACACAGGACTCAGGTCACTTTGCGGTGTCCTACTTCACCTGAAACCTACCTCAACAGGAGTATAAACACTCCTGTGCTGAGCAACTCACATGGAAACACTCCCAGTTCTGTTAAGGCATTATTTGAATTAGATCTAATTACATGACCCAAGACAGAGAGGACTCACAAAACCCCCACATTACCCCATATTCTTGAATCCACACAGAGCTGTACCCCAGGTCAGGCTGGGAACTTCCATTTCCAGGTAAGGAAATGGAGGGTCATTGGTTGAGTAGCCCAACCAAATCTAGCCAGTGAATGGGCAGAGCTTTAATTTTAGCCTCAGACTAGGATTCAAGATCCAGAGCCCTTACCATCCCATAGGGTGACTGCACAACCCACTTGTTGCGCTGTGTTCCGCGTAATTATTGGTAGCATCCCATTCCCTCTCTAGATAATAAAGTCCATGGTTCCTATGTGGCAGTTCTTCCCCTGGGGTTCTTTCTGCCTCGTCTGTGACTCAGGTGGACGTCTCTGGACGGATGCTGTGGCCAGGCCACCCTCAGCAGTTCCTAACGCCCCACTAGCCACAGGCCACTCACCTGCCCAGAACAGGCAACTCCAAAGAAACAGAACGTAGGTTAGTGGCTGCCACAGGCCTGGGGGGAGGGAGGAATGGGGAATGGATGCTAATGGATCCAGGGTTTCTTTTGGGGGTTGTCTAAAATCAGTAGCTGTGGTTGCATATACTAAAAACCACAGAACTTAACCAAAAAAAAAGGAAGGGAAACAGGTGAGGATAGGATGCAGCAACATGCTTGGTCGACAAGGACCCCAGCTGTTTTTGTGTTAGAAAAGGACCGAGCATCCAGCAGGAATAGAAGGTGAAGAGAGCAAGAGAGAGCTTCACACAGCCCCACATGATCCCACTTCCCTTCTCCTACAAAGAACGCCCCTTGGCTTGTGGCTGGCACTGTTGTTCACACTCAGACATCAAGATAGTCTCGGGGAAACACCAGAGCAAGGTCTACAAAGGTCTGAGACATTTAACCTGCACAACCCTCCTAGGTAGGTATTACGATCCCCATTTAACAGTGAAGCAAATGGAGGCTCAAGAGATGCAGAAGCTAAGAGTAAATGGCCTGAGGCCAACAGCCAGCAAGGGACATAGCTGGGAGATCAACATAGCTTTCAGGGACCCAAGTCTTTGTTCAAAGTTACTACACTGACGAGGCCCCACTCCCGCCCAACTCACTGGCTCCAAATCACAGGGAAAGACCGTAGTTTCAAAGTGTCACGAAAGCGATCGGTAAGGATATTGCTAAAGGCACAAGGCCCAGGAGAGCACCGCGGGGGCGTCTATTGCACAAGTCCCCTGGGAGTCTTCAGAAGTCTACTTAGACGGAGGGGAAAGGGGATTTTAAAGTAGTTCAACACATACAGAAGCACATGGCTGTTCTCTCCTCCTTCCAAAGCAAGCTCTTTATTGTCCAACCAACAATTGTTTAACGAGGCCTAGTACTGTCCTAGGTACACTGTACTAAGCACAAATACAAAAGTACGGGACACAGTCCCTGCCCATTTGAGGCGCACAACCTAAATCTCTCTCGGGAATTACTCCACGGTTAATACAAAAGTACAGGACACAGCCCCTGCCCATTTGAGGCGCACAACCTAAATCTCTCTCGGGAATTACTCCACGGTTAAAACTCAAATCGGGACTTGGATGCCAACATTGCAACAAACAGTCTTTAGGGTCAACATTTTAAAGGAAAACATCACACCCTATGTTGATTGTGGCAGGAAATCTCTTCCTAGTAGTAGCGACTTCGTTATTATCAATAAACAAGGGTTACTTTTGTTCAAGTTCACCTTACATTCCCCTCCTCTGTGATTTGAATAGAAATTTTTTTTGAAAAAGGGTTTTTCAAGAGTAAAGTAGTAGAAGTCGTCAGGTACACATCTGGCCAACAGCTGTCTGGGCAAACGCACTCTAGACAACCATGTGAAACTGAGCTCATGTCCAGGCCATTTTCACAAACATTCTGAGGACCACACAAAGCACGTTTCCACGCAGGACCTTACTGCCATCTGGGAAGGGGGCGGGCGCTGCAGAGAGCGGTCCAGAGGAGACATTTTCATACCAAAATTGAGCACCAACTCAGGGGCAATCACAGGGGTGGCAGGGGATTTCATCTCGACCCTCTCTCACTCGCAGAACTCATAGGTGTGTGGTTCTGGGAACAGAAACTAACCGAAACCGAAAAGTTGAATGGAGCTCATGAACTTGGCGACGAGTCCATCGCAGGAGCGAACCTCCCGCTTAGAGCACAGAACATTCAGCATAGGGCAAAGAAGTAGGAGCAGCCGCCTCGGGAGCCTGAAACCTGAGCAGGGGAGACAGATGCAGGGACAAGCACCTGCCCCTCCACAGGACCCTGTGGCCAAGAAGCTCGGCCTCCCACTGGGTTATTTACCCCAAATGGTCTCCATTGGGCAAATAAGAGGCAAACGAGGGAGGGAGGCAGCACGAGGGAAGGACTGGACAATTTTCTAGTGTTATGGTACTCGAATGAAATACTCGAATGAAAAAGATCTCGAGTTCCTTCAAATAAAACACATTACGCCAGGAAGAAAATAACTTAAGGGAAAGGTTCAGATCTGAACTTCAAACCCGCAGGAAGCAAGTGCCTTTTCCTCTTGAGGATCTTTTGACTTAAAGCACTGAGAAGGGAGCTGCTAGCTCCGGCAGTGATGGGAAAGGGGGACGGGCCCTTCTGTGCGGAGGCGCCAGGCCCAGCTCGACTGAGCCCCGTGCCAGCTCCCGGCCTCCTGCCCACCGTGGGGACCGCTCCGGCAAGCATGTGCCACACAGGCCCCGGGATCCCTCCATCCGCTACCAGACTGACCATTGGAGCTACTGAAATGGAAGGTAGCATTTCACGTGTAATACTGGGTTTTCTTCAAATGTAAGACTGGTTTTCTTAGAGCATGTATAAGGCACGGTGTGAGAAAGCTGCTCCCGCCCCCAGCCACACACCCACACTCGGCTCCTCACACGCACACATGCACACAGAAGAGGCCAGCTGACTTTGCCGCAACGCACGGGGAACGGATCGCTTCTGATCACTTCTGGTTCTTGAGCTGGTTCGAGAGCCAGTCCAGTCCTTCGTAAAGCCCATCTCCACTGGTAGCACAAGTGGCCTGAATGTACCAGTTTCTCTGGCGGAGGGAATGTAAGCCGAGCTTGTCTGTTATTTCCGCTGCGTTCATAGCATTCGGAAGATCCTTGAGAAAGAAAATCCGAAAGTCAGTTTATACTGACGCGTGTATATAACGAAATACTATGTTCTTCTCCCCGTACCTACCCCAGCCCACAGTCTGAGCTCAGTTGATCCTCAGTCTCTCTCTCTTTCTGACCTCTCAACTCCACACCAGTTAACACTACTGGTTGTAACATCAAAACAGATGCAGCCAGGGGCGCCTGGGTGGCTTAGTCGGTTAAGCGTCCGACTTTCGCTTAGGTCATGATCTCGCGGTTCATGGGTTCGAGCCCCGCGTTGGGCTCTGTGCTGACTGCCAGCTCAGAGCCTGGAGCCTGTTTCAGTCTGTGACTCCCTCTCAGAGCCTGGAGCCTGTTTCAGTCTGTGACTCCCTCTCTCTGACCGTCCCCTGCTCACGCTGTCTCTCTCTCTCCTAGAAATAAATAAAACATTAAAAAAAAAAAAAAAACAGATGCAGCCACCCTCCCGAGGCCGGCACCACCAGCTCTACCCTGGGGCACTGCGAGAACTTTCCTGATCAGTCCCTTTGCTTCTGCGCTTGTTCCCTCAAGTCTCTTCTCAACCCAGTGGTCAGTGAAACAGCGAGTCATTCTTCTTTCAAAACCCAACAGCAGCTCCATCTCTCTGGGGGGGAGAGCCAGAGTCCTTGCTGTGGCCTGCAAGGCCTTCACGACCTGAACCCCCAGGACCCCTCCCTAATTGTCCTGCTTAATCTTCTCAAATGCCGCACTCACCACGTCGCTACATTATAAAACTTAGGTATGTGGTATGTGGATTACTTATTACCCATCTCCTCTAACTAGAACCCAAGCTTGTTTACAAGGGCAGGAATTTCTATCTTGTTCTCAGTTATATTCCAAGTTCCTACAGCTCTGCCTGCCATCTAGTTAATGTACATCTAGATATACTGATATGGAATGCCATCAAAGATACGCTAAGTAAAAATGCTGATCTCCAGAACGTAAGTAAGAATACAATCATATAACTGTTTATACAGGCTTAGAAAGCTGTAGCTCTGGGAAAAGAAGAAATTCAACAGCGTTTTACCCTGAAGAGTGAGGCCAGGACATTTCAGTTGGTATTCTAAACTGCTGGCGCAATGTTCTGCTTTTATAATTAAAAAGAACAAGTGCCATTTCTTTTCGAAAGTCCATTACGATCACTAGTGAAATTCTGGACTGGCTTTGAACCCAACAGGAGGGTAAAGACTGACTGATGACCCAGCCACCATTTAAAATCATGTTGACAAAAAGCTGGATGGCAAGAGAAGATGCTTTCGATAAATCTGAAATGACAAACAGGATGCAACCCCGTCAGAAGAGCATGAGCTCAGTCTGTAATGAATGTACTCGTGGGGGAGAAGGTGGAAGGAAACACCACAATCCATGGAGGTTATCTCAGGCTGGTACATTCCACAACCCCACCTTCCTTTCCACGCTCAGTTCGGCTTTGAGTCCCGAGGTGGGACGGCTCTACCCTCGGCCCTCCTCCCCCTCTTCCTTTACTGCTTTCCATTACATTTATGTAGAAGGCCCTTCTCCTCCAGGAAGGTAGCCTCGTATGATGCAACCATCTCCTGCCTCACTGCCCTGCCCCCTTTGTTCTAGCTGTACTGGCTGCCTTGCTATTTCTAGCCCCACATGGCTCCCTTCCTGCTGGCCTTCGGGTCTTCTTCTCAAATGTCATCTTATGAGGGAGGAATCTGGCCCTTCCCCACATCCATCCTGTCCCCGTCCTCCATCTTACCTCCCTCCATAACACTTCCAGCAGACACATTATGTGTTATTTACCGACTGCCTCTCCTTGCACTAGAACGTAACCTCCATGAACACAGGGATTTCTGTCTGTCTTGCTGCTCACTGCTACAACACCGATACCGAAAACAATGCCTGGATCTTAGTAGATGCTTAATTAATATTTGCTGTGTGAATGAATAGAAGACAAGCTAAAAAGGAGGTGCAGAAAGGGTACCTGGCTGTCTCAAGGTCATGAGTTCAAGCCCCACGTTGGGCCTAGAGCTTACTTTACAAAAAAGAAAAAAAGGAGGTGGAGGCTAAGGTGGTAAGGTCATGGTAGTGACTAGAGAGAGGAAGGCAGGTATCTAATTTAACTTATCTCTACTTTTAAGTAAGTGTCTGGCAGAAATTTCAGTCCCCGTATTCAGAAAGCTAAACAATATACCTGTTTATTTACAAACACCAATAAAACTGCATCTCGGAGTTCATCTTCTGCTAGCATTCTGGTTAGTTCTTCTCGGGCCTCATTGACCCGCTCTCTGTCATTACTGTCGACCACAAAAATCAGCCCTGGAAAAAAATCACAAACATGTTGGTAATCTGAACCTGGAAAAGGGCAACTGTTTATATGTCCTCACAGCTTCTCCCTACTTATGTGCATGGTTTCACCGACAGCAACCGGTAAGGAAGGACATCTAACGTCCAGAGGCAGGCAGCCTGCTGCACACTCAGCCCGCCGACCTTTTCGGAAACAGCACAGGCCTTCACCACATTAACAGGGACAAGAATAGACAGAGAAAAGGTTAAGGTTCCTGCTTTATCACTTCACTTCTACATCATGTCTACATACAGAAGTCCCAACAAAAACATCAGAGTTCAGATAAGCGTTGCTGGTTGGCAATACTCTGCAGATGTCACACATCGGCGTGCCGGGGGTAATGCGTCCGGACTCTGTGCAGAAAGGACAAGGGGAGCTCTGTGTCTGGTACCTCCCAGACCTCGCCCTCCGTCTCTCCCCCTTTGGCTGGTTCATCTGTATCTCTGTGCTATAACAAAACTGTAATTCTCAGTATTTCGCTTTCCTGAGTCCTAGGAATCATTCTGATGAAGTACGGAACCTAAGGGGGTCCCGGGAACTGCCAAATTTGCAGCCAGTCAATCAGAAGCGAGGGTCGGGTGGTCTGCGGACCCCATTTACGGCTGGTGTCGGAAGTGAGGGAGTTTTGTGCCCCTACCCTGTGAAGTTTGGCCCAACTCCAGGTAGTTGGTGTTGGGAAGTCCTTGCAGGATCCCACACTAGACAGCATCAGAGAAGCCCCAGGAAGCAAGAGGCGAGTCGAAGAAAGATACCACCACCCTGTGTCTAAGCAAAGGTGGTAGAAACTGGCACAAACCTGGTTCTGCCCCAACATCGGCTGGAGGAAACGCTGGGCCAAGACGATTCTCTGGGGAATCCTACTCACACCCAAATAGTGAACAGGGAAGACCTTCCCAGCAGCGGTCCATGCACAGTACATAACGATAGTAAGGACCTGGTGGCTAGCTGACAACACGCCCTCGACGTGACAAAACTGTGTAGGGCTGCCACAACTAACCTGCTCTCAGGCCGTATCGAGAGCAGTGCTGTCCTCTTGGTTTCTAGGGTGTGCATGATAAAGAGCCTTCTCTGTTGTATCTCAGTCGGAACATCCTGCGGAGAGGAGTGGCCGCTGCCGGACCCCACGCTCCAGAACGTAGGAGCCCTGGAAGGACTCAAAGCATGAGTAGGATGGCAAAGGGACTAGAGACCATGTGACGAAAAATGTAAAATGGACAGGGTGGGAGCTGACGTACAGTCCCTTCACCACTCCTAATAGAAAGGCTTATAAATATGAGCCTTTACACTTTCTACGGCTTTTACATAAATCCTTATCTGAGAAACAAAAGAATCTGGCATCAGACGGACTCTACTTTTGAACTGGGAGAACCTAGAAAAGATAATTTTACACATGAATAGTAGACTACAATTTTTTTTTAAGGTTTATTTTACTTTTTTTGAGACAGAGCTTGAGTGGGGGACGGGCAGAGAGAGAGGGAATCACAGAATCTGAAGCAGGCTCCAGGCTCCGAGCAGATAGCCCAGAGCCCAACACAGGGTTCGAACCCATGGACAGTGAGATCATGACCTGAGCCGAAGTCGGCCGCCCAACCGACTGAGCCACCCAGGCTCCCCAAGACTACAATTTGTTTTAAAAGGCAGGGAGGCTGGAGCGCCTGGGTGGCTCAGTCGGTTGAGCGTCCGACTTTGGCTCAGGTCATGATCTCATAGTCCATGAGTTCGAGCCCCGCATTGGGCTCTGCATGGACAGCTCAGAGCCTGGAGCCTGCTTTCATTCTTGGACTCCCTGTCTCTCTGCCCCTCCCCTGCTCACCTCTGTCCCTCTCTGTCTCTCAAAAATAAATGAACATTGGAAAAAAAATTGTTAAGGGCGGGGAAGGGTATAGATTTAGAGCTGCGTGCAGATGTAGAAAATATCTTTGGACAGATATGCAAGAAACAGAAGTGCTGGTCTATGGAGGGAGAGCTGAGTAGTTAGGGGACAGGAAGGAGACAGTGGCATTTCATCATACACTTTTATTTCTTTTGGAAATTTGAACCATATAAATGTAGGGCCATTTAACAAATTAAAATAACTGCACCTACAATCAAAGAGAAAAATCTTAAAAAGAAGAAAAGGAGAAAAATCTTTCCACATGAGAACTAATAGACCATTTTAGGCACCCTATGTAATATAATCATCTAAGAACTCACAAACTATTCACATTCCAATCTATACAAGTGAAGCCTAGTGAAGGCACAGTCAAATGTCTTCATGGGAGAGCTAAAGGCTATCATTTAGTCTGTCATACTCAATATCCTGATGAAGAAAATTTAATAAAAAAGACAGCTTGACCTTTGACACGCCAGCAGAAGGAAAAGGGGCAGCATCCAAGGCCACTCGTAGCTGAGATGCCTGTGCCCACTACAGACAGCAAGTCCATTCTTCAAGCACTCCCCATTTACTAGTTTCATGAGGAGTCTAAATTACCCACCGCAAGGTCCTGGAACATAGCCAGGTGCCTGCCATTGAAGCAATGGGCACCAAAGTTCAATAGAATTGGACTTGTTAGGAACAGAAGATTGAAAACAAAAAGGCATTTCAACTTGGTGACCGAATGTGACAGCATTGAATCGGGAGGCAAAAGGAATCCTGCCAGAGAATGAGGAAGTGAAACCTCTCACTATTTGGGCTCTGTGATGGGGGTAATTTACGAGTGAACTTGACTGGGCCACGGGGTGCCCAGACATTCGGTCAAACATTACTCTGGGTGTGTCTGGGAGGGTGTTTCTGGACGAGGTTAATGACATCTGAATCAGCAGACTGAGTACAGCAGGCTGCCTTTCCCAGCGGGGGTGGGCCTCTCCGGTCCATTGAAGGCCGGAAGAGAACAAAAGAGTGACAGAAGTCTCTGCCTGGCCATCCTGGAGCTGCTCTTCTGCCTCTGGACTGGAACTTCCGGCATCGGCCACCCTGGCTCTCCTGCTCGCCAAATGCAGATCCTGGGACTGCTCAGCCTTTGTGACCATGCGAGCCAATTCCTTATAATAAATTCCATCCTTCCCACTGGTTCTGTTTCCTCTGGAGAAGCTGGACTTCTCCTAGCCTACTATCTTCCAACCACCGAACAAAGCATTTTACAAAATCAATCTCATTTAAGCCAAATGAACCAACACAGTATGTAGTACCTCCATTTTACAGATAAGGAAACGGACAAAAGATTACTTAACCTTATCAAGGTTGCAGAGCAGAGCTGTGGTTCAAACCCCCGCTTTCTAGATTTATTAACTAATGAGGGATTGCAACCGTTTGGCCATTATGGCAAGTACCAACCCAAGATAAATGAACACTCTGACCATCAGAAGGTATATTGTCTACAGTGGATTGAAACACAGATACAAAAATCTAAGAGTCATCATGGAAATTGCTAAGGTATCAAGTCATCTCTCTGAAGATCAATAAAAGCAAAGAATCATGCACTTTTTCTGACTTTCTTATATAACATATGTTTCAGAGAAACGAAACATTTGATGAAGGAGTTCTCTGTTTAGAAGGATTTCAGCTAACAAATATAAATGAAATGACAAGATCTAGAAAAAATTCATCATTCTATCACTCTAGTGAAATAACAGATCTAGGAAAGAGTCTTCCACTTTCCCAATTTCTCAATAAAGTGGGAGGGAACTTTATTTCGGGGGAATTATGCTGATACCATCTGAATCCACTTAGTGTCACTAAAAGTGGGACAATCAAACTCCTGTGTTCAGATGTGATACGACAGGAAGTACTCAGCACCACGTCTGAAGTATTCTTGCCGCCAAAATGAACCAGAATGTAACCAAGCCTCTAGAACAAACTACCATTTTCCGAGATATCCATTGACAAATTACATAACACTACAATAATCAGCCAAATCCAAAATGAGAGATGAACATCTAACAAAAATGGCACAGGAAAAAAGAAAAAAAAGAGGTGGGAGAGGATCTGTTTAAGAGTAACAGCCTAAAGGGACATGACAATGAAATGCAATGTGTGCACCATGGCTCCCAAGGCAAACCAATCAAAATCTTGAATACGTCCTTTCTACATATCTTGAATAAGGACTGGGTACTTGTCATTAAAGATGAATACTAATTTTGGGGGTATGATAATGGCATGGAGTTTATGTTCAGAAAAAAAGGCTTTATCAGTTTGAAGTGAAAAATGAAGGACATACGAGCAGAAGGTACAATGTTTGGGATTTGCTAAACATACTCTGGACAGAATGCTAATAACTGTTGAAGCGGGGCAAGGTCACGAGGGGGTTTGTTCTGTATCCTCTCTCCTTATAGCTTTTGAATTTTCCCCTAACAAAAATAAAATACTTATGTGTATGTATGCATGTAAATATATATATACTCATTTATACAGCATTTGGAGAAAGAGAAATTTAATTTAATTTAAAGGCTGAGAAAATAGCTGCAAATGAAGTGAAGTGCCACAACAATGATCTAAAGCATAAAGGGCCAGCCGGCTTGGGTACTGGGTATGACAAGACCCACCAATACAAGCCTTTACTATGAACCGTGTGCAATGAAAACACCACCAGTAACAGAATCTTCAAAATTAAAAGACTCAGATACGTTCTAAAGTGAGCATGGAGACACCATATGGTTATGAAGCTACATGAGAATCAGGGTGTAAAAGCTATGTGAACAGTTTACGGATATCTTCACAGGCAATATTCTAAAAGGCAGCATTTATCCAACACAAAATCCACGGGGAAAAAAACCTCAAGGAGATCGATGAGGGGGTGTGGACCCATTAAACCCCCAACTTTTTTTTTTTTTTTAATTTTTTTTTTAATGTTTTATTTATTTCTAGGAGAGAGAGAGAGAGAGAGACAGCGTGAGCAGGGGAGGGTCAGAGAGAGAGGGAGTCACAGACTGAAACAAGCTCCAGGCTCTGAGCTGGCAGTCAGCACAGAGCCCGACGCGGGGCTCGAACCCACGAACCGCGAGACCATGACCCAAGCGAAAGTCGGACGCTTAACCGACTAAGCCACCCAGGCGCCCCATAAACCTCCAACTTTTAAGAAACCAGTGATAAGGAGAGGAGGCACCGATCTGGGATACGTGTCAGCTCAGACCCCTCTAGAATCACAGGGCAACAGGGAGCCACCGGCCACACGAGATGCTGGCATTTGGGGTTCCAGTCACACCTGTTCATCGCTTTCTCTCCAGAGGCATGATTCTTAGATATTCTCAATAGGTTTAAAAGAGCTTACTGAATTCAAATTCTTCAAAAATTGGTACTTCATCTAAGGTACATAGTTCTCAATAAACCAAAAGACAAAATTCAGGAGGACAACCCTTTTGTAACTAGTCTGGATTAAGAGGAGTTCTCTATGTAGGGCACTAATGCCCAAGCACCTTTTCTAGAAAAGAGGGACCATTTTCCAAAAAGACACCTCCCCAGGAGGTGTAAGTGGGTCATCAGAAGAGAAGGAATGACTGACAGTCCAAATACAGCAGAGCACCAGGTTCTGCCATGAGCATCCATCTTTAGATGCATTTCATACTAATGGCTCCGAGGCCATAGACTGGATAATCTTTACCTTGGGTGTTCTGGAAATAATGTCGCCACAAAGGTCTGATTTTGTCCTGGCCGCCAACATCCCAGACTGTGAAGCTGATGTTTTTATATTCTACCGTTTCTACATTGAAACCTAAATTGGGAAGATGGAGAAAATTGTTAATGAAGACTTTTGTTGAACAATTCCAATGAATTTCAGCTAACATTTGGACAGTACTTTTAATTTACAAAGCAACTTGCTCGTCCAAGATCTGTAGCTTGCAGCGGGGCGCTGGGCTGGCTCAGTCGATAGAGCATGCAACACTCAATCTCAGGGTAGTGAGTTCAAATCCCACTCTGAGACTAGAGCTTACTTAAAAAAGAAAAAAAAATCTAGGGCTTACAAAACAGAGTATGTTAGCTTGCTCTCTCCTTCATCATGATAGGGGTCTCAAACCTTCTCTACTCTCTCCAAACTCAAACCTCACATGTCCCCTTTTTCTCTCAGCAGATCATACAGCGCACTTCAGAGCAAACAGAAGCCATTAACGAAGCAGACTTTCACCTCCCACCACACAATGTAGAAACCTACCTACATCTTCACCCACATGTTTTTCCCTCCCTCTTGGAACAACAGAAGGGGGCTACCATCCAATGTCAATTCCATCCACTCATACCGCCAGACCTTTTGCTGTTCTCCCCCGCTCTCCGAAATCTCCATCCTGTTCATCTCAGCATGCTTAAGTCTTTATCATCTTTCGAAAAAGGCCTTCCTTGACTCCACATCTTCAACCATTACCACCCTCTATTTTCCCTAATAAAGCCAAACTTCTTTAAGAAGTTCAGTTACATTCACTGCACCTACCGTGGCACCTTGTTCCCTAGAGCACCTTGGTTCTGCTCCATCATGTTACAGAGCTGATCCTGCCAAACCGACCAATGACCACCATGTCCATAAATCCAACAGATGCTCTTCGGGTCTTACGGAATTTGACACTACTGCTCACTCCCTCCTTGAAACTCTTCCTTGCTTTCCCATTTTCCTTCTATTTCAATGGCTGGCCCTTCTTGGTCTACTTGGTGAGCTCAACCACGTTTAATTGATCCTTAGAGGATGGAGTTCCTGTGACTCTGTACTGCCCCATCCAGGCTCTTCTTTCCACATCCCCAGAGGTGATCTCATTCCCTCCTGGGGTTTTATCACCATTTTTGTGCTAATGACTCAAATTTACATGATCCCAACCCAGATCTCCTGAATTTAGGGCTCATAATCCAACCTTCTATCCAACATCTTTGGTTAAATGTCTCGAAGTCTCCAATAAGGCAGCATGCCAAACCTGAACTAGAGACCCCTCCACCCCCTATCTTGCTCCTCTCCTAGCTACCCTGCACCCCTTCATCCCACAAGCCGGAAATTTGGGAGGCATCACTGACACTTCCAACTCTCTCACCCCTAAAATTCTCATTATCAAATCTTATCTGTTCAGCCTCCTAAATATCTAAGGGACACCCTAACCCACGAAACTGTCGTTTCAAGTCTCAATTATTGAAGCAACCTAACTAATCTACCCACAGCCACTCTTCCTCTCTCGGTCCACTCACTATTTTCTAATCAAAACTCTCAAAACACATGCGATCATATCACTTCCCTACACACTCCTGCTTGATTGAAATATTTGAAATAAGGGGAACAAAATCTCTCCTTGGCTTCCCACACCCAAGTCCCCAACATGACTGTCGAGGCCTACCACAACCTGGGACTGCTCACTTTCCAAATCTCATTTTGGGTCAAGCCTGGTTTTAATGAGGGGCACTAACTGCAGCAATCTCAATTCTTGCTAAATAAATGTGTAGTTTCAATGCCATTCTAATCCTAAAGTAAAGAGCTGGAAAGAAAGGGGGGTGGAAATGTAGCAAAATGATCTTAAAATATAATCTGGAAAAATAAGCAAATAACCAGGAACTCTGAAAACAGGTAACAAATTACTTTTAAGATATTAGGGGGCCCTGAGTGGCTCCGTCGGTTAAGCAGCTGACTCAGTTTCGGCTCAGATCATGATTTTACAGTTTCCTGAGTTCAATCCTGCATGGGAGTCTGCACTAATGGTGCGGAGCCTGCCTGGGATTCTCTCGCTCTCTCCCTCTGTCTCTACCTCTCCCCTGCTCACACTGCCTGTCTATCTGTCTGTCTCTCTCTCTCAAAATAAACAAACTTAAAAATTTTTTTCCTGAAGATAGTATCAAACCTTAGTAATACTTGAAATAATTAAGTTCAAATGACTACAACAGGGAGTTGTCCGGAAAGACACACATACCCAATGAAAACTTAGTATTATGATAAAGAAGGCATTTAAAATCAGTGTGGGAAAACTATCCAATAAATGGTGGAGAGCTGTCTACCCCTGCACATGTCCCATACATATATGACTGTCTGGTTTAATTAAAATGAACTACAATTAAAAGGTGAGCTCCTCCATCAAACTAGCCACATTTCAAGTGCTCAACAGACGCTTGTGGCTCTGGCTACCAGCCTGGACAGTGTGGTCACGGATACTTCCATCACTGCAGAATGTTCTACTGGCCAGCACTGGCCTCCTCATTTGAAAAGTTTAACTAAATCCCAACCTTACTTATAGCAGAAAAATAAACTTCAAGTAAATAAAATATTGCAGGGGCGCCTGGGTGGCTTAGTCGGTTAAGCGTCCGACTTTCGCTCAGGTCATGATCTTGCGGTTTGTGGGTTCGAGCCCCGCGTCGGGCTCTGTGCTGACTGCCAGCTCAGAGCCTGGAGCCTGTTTCAGTCTGTGACTCCCTCTCTCTCTGACCCTCCCCTGCTCACGCTGTCTCTCTCTCTCTCTCTCCTAGAAATAAATAAAACATTAAAAAAAATTTTTTTTTTTAAAATAATAATAAAATAAAATATTGCAATGTTTTAAAAAATGAAATAAAAAGAATGAATAAAATAAGCAGCAGAAAATATTGGTGAATACTTTTCTGGCCCTGGAGTGAGGAAGACCTTTCTAAAAATGATACCAAAGGGGCACCTGGGTGGCTCAGTCAGTTAAACGTCCGACTTCAACTCAGATCATGATCTACGGTTTGTGGGTTTGAGCCCCGCATTGGGCTCTGTGCTGACAGCTTAGAGCCTGGAGCCTGCTTCAGATTCTGTACCTCCCTCTCTCTCTGACCCTCCCCTGCTCACGCTCTCTCTCTCTCTCAGAAATAAATAAAACATTAAAAAAATTTTTTAAAAAAAGGAGAAACTTCTTTAAAAAACAGAAAACAAAAAAAGAACAACTGCAAATAACTGAATCAACCATCAATGGAAATTCATCAAAGTATAGCTACAATGGAATACTATCTTGTCATTAAAATTTGACGTTAATCTGTATTAGTTGTTAGGTAAGCCCCAAAATTTAGTGACTTAGAATAATGATTCCCTCCTCCACCGCCACCAATTCTGTGGGTTGCCTCGGTGTCCCCCTGTAGTACATTTCAGCCAAGGACTCAGACCAGGCTTCTCTCTCTCCAGGTGGTCTTCTCATTCTCAAGGATGGTGGCAGGGTTCCCAAAGTGCAAGCCCCAGGGCACAAACACTAACTTTATCTTCGCCAAAGTAAGCCCATGGCCAAGCTCCACGCTGGGCATCACAGTAGAAGGGGACTGCATATGGGGGTGGATACTGAGGGGAACGATGCATTGGAGGCCACTAGTTTAACCAAGGTCAGTATCCAGTTCACTCACCAAACATTTACTGGACAGGGGAGGCTGCGAGGCTCAGTCAGTTAAGTGCCCCAATCTTGATTTTGGCTCGGGCCATGATCTCATGGTTCCTGAGTTCGAGCCCTGAAACGGGTTCCACACTAAGTGTGGAACCTGCTTGGGATTCTCTTTCTCTCTCTCTCTCTCTGGCCTTCCGCCACTCACTTAAATGTACATACGCATGTGCTCTCTCTCAAAATAAATAAACTTAAAGATATATATATTTATGGGGTGCCTGGGTGGCTTAGTCAGTTAAGTGTCCGACTCTTGATTTTGGCTCAGCTCATGATCCCACAGTTCGTGAGATGGAGCCGGCATCTGGCTATGCACCAGCTTGGGATTCTCTCTCCCTCTCTCTCTGCCCCTCCCCAATCACACTCTGTTGCTCTCTCTCTCTTTCTCAAAATAAATAAATAAACCTGGGGATGCCTGGATGGCTCGTGAATTTGAGCCTGCTTGGGATTCTCTCCCCCCTCCCATGTGTCCTCTCTCTCTCTCAAAACAAATAAAATAAACTTTAAAAATTATTTAAAAAAAGAAATAAATAAACTTAAAAATAAATAGTTTCTGGACGACTTTGGGCCAGGCCTTTTGCCAGGAGCTTGGGAACAGTGGTGAAAGAGGCAGACAGGGTTCGTGCCCTCATTTTACTCCCACTGCTGGAAGGAAGAGACGTGAGCAAGCAATGACAAATGTGTTGACAGTTACTCAGAAGTTCAAGTTACTATGGAAACTTACCAGGGGAAAACCAGTCAAGGGTATCAGGAAAGGTGCCCCTGAGAAATAATGTTTAAACTAAGACCAAAAGAATGAGCTGGCATTAGCTACGTCAAGGGGGAGGAGGGTAAGGAAGAAGGCGGAAAGCATTCCCCAGAGAGGAAATAACAAGAGAGGTCCAAATATACTGTCTAATGCAAAGGAAGTTGGAAAACAGCATACCTATGATTTTACAAAAATATTCACCAAAATCTTTTTTCTTAAGGCTTATTTATTTTGAGAGAGGGAGAGAACAAGGAAGGGGCAGAGAGAGAGAGGGCAAGAAGAATCTCAAGCAGGCTTCATGCTGTCAGTGCAAAGCCCAACGGAGGGCTCGATCTCAAGAACACTCACAAACCGAGAGCTCATGACCTAAGCCAAAATCAAGAGTTGGACGCTCAACCGACAACTGAGCCACCCCGTGCCCCTTCTCCAAAATCTTAATGGTACAGTGTTTTTAACACTTATTTCTATGTTGCTGTAGGTCTGACATTATGGAAGCATGAATTATTTTTATAATTGGAGAAACTCATGCAATTAGGCTATTGGGATTGATAATATGTTTTTAAATTGTGGGTATGAGCATTCTGTCCATCTGGTTTCCTCCTTCTCCAAATGTTGCAAAATCTCTGAAACTGTTGCCCAAGTGGGAAGCTGATCCTTTGATTCCTGTGACTAATCCAACATTCAGAATACCACTGATTTCACATGCCATCCTGGGGGCGCCTATTCTCATGCAGGAGTTTGGATCTAGAGGCAGCTCATAAGGCAAAGAGCAAGTCCGGTCAAACCTGCCTTTGCAATCCTTAAATGGTCCACGAAACACAGTGCTGGTGCACGTGTGTAACTACACTGCCAGGTGGTCCTCCAGCACTGGAACAAACCAGATTCTTCAGCTGGACACCAACTCAAGCAATTGGCTTGAGCCCAAGTGAAGAAAATCACACTGCATCTCTAAAGGTTAGGAACATACTTCCTGCGGACATGCTTCTACTTAGAAAGCCCAGCTGGAAAGAAGCCTGACTGAAGAGGCAACTAATTCCTAGCTTCCAGCTGGGGCAGAGGCTGGGATCCCTGAGTGGAATACAGGGCATAACTGCCCTCCCTGTTTTAAGATTTTATCTTTAAGTGATCTCCACATCCAACATGAGGCTCGAACTCATAACACCCAAGATCAAGAGTCCCAAGCTCTACCGACCAAGCCAGCCAGGTGTCCCTGCCCTCCCTGTTTCATCATATCCTTTTTCTTTTTCTACCAAGCACATAGGGTTAAGTGTCCTAAACCCAAATGTGTTCATCTGATTGCCCTGTAAACCCACCAATGTCCTTAGAGATGCCAGGGAGCACCTGAGAAATTCTACATTACCTAGTTTTGGCCTCAAAAAGTTTGCACTCTTGGGGCAGACAAGATTTTCAAAAAGAAGTATTTAATAATAGGGATGCCTGGGTGGCTCAGTAGGTTAAGCACCTGACTTCAGCTCAGGTCGTGGTCTCACAGTTCGTGTGCTCAAGCCCCACACTGGGCTCTGCCCCAACAGTGTGGAAGCTTGCTTGGGATTCTCTCTCTTTCCCTCTCTCTCTCTGCCTCTCCCCAAATCATGCCTTCCCTCTCTCAAAAATAAATAAACTTAAAAAAATAAATAAAAAGAAGTATTCAGGGGTGGCTGGGTGGCTCAGTTGGTTAAGCATCTCCAGCTCCTGTTATCAGTCAGCTTGGGTCATGATCTCATGGTTTGTGAGTTCGACCCCCACATCGGGCTCTGTACTGACAGCGTGGAGCCTGCTTGGAATTCTCTCTCTCCTGCTCTCTGCCCCTCCCCCATTCATACTCTCTCAAAATGAATAAACTTAAAAAAAAAAAAAAGGTAATCAATAACATAAAAAGCATGCAGAGTATAACATACTACATCGTAAATTGTTCTTGTTACAGGCCCTGAACATACCTATCGTAGGGATGGTAGTCACAATCTCTCCCAGTTTCAATTTATACAAGATGGTGGTTTTTCCAGCTGCATCCAAACCCACCATAAGAATCCGCATCTCTTTTTTCCCAAATAGACTTTTGAACAGTTTTTCAAAAACGTTCCCCATTGTGACTGAATTCCGTTACCTGAATGAAAAGAAAAGCATGGTAAGTGACTGGTCTTTGCAGAGATACAGAAACATCATACAGAAAATACAAGTCTCTATTAGAGGCGGCTCCTGGTAAGATTTAAACAACGTTAAGTTTAATTTGGCCAATAAAGAGTAGTGTGTCTAGTTTTCAAGGGGAAATTCAACTAAGCTTTTTGAAGTCTTGCCAGAAAATTCTTTTTCCATTGCAGCGTCCAAGTGGGATAAGTGGGAACACAGTCTCCATGCTACCACTATAGCAGCAGGCTTTGGTTGCCCTAAGTATGGAAGCAATCTCACAACAGGCACATCTACGCTCTCTTGAAATCAGAACTAAAGAAGGAGAGAACCAGTATATTTACAGGATGTGAAGCAAAGTCCTTAACACAAGTTAAGCATCGGTTTCTCTTAGAAATTTTGTAGTTGCCCTTGACTAGCAAACAGTATCAATACCCAGAAAAGAACCTACAAAATTTTCATAGGGGAGGAAATACAGCATTGGGACACTGCACTCTTAACACAGAAACAGGGCAGAGGTGAGGCGATCCCATAGCATCCACTGTTGACATCACCTGCCTCTCAGCCAACTTTTTTTTTTGCTTTATGTCGAAATGTAATTTACATACAGATAAAAACACATGATAACCATACAGTTTAACCAAACGTCATGAACCAAACAAAAAAAGATGATTATCAGCAACCCAGATCTCCTTGTCCCTCAATCCCAGTCCTTGCCTCCCAAAAGGTAATCACTGTATTGACATCTAACAGCCCAAGTGTTCAATATTTTATTTTTTAGTAAAGTGTATAATAGATTCTATAAAGAAAGGCAACAGTAAAGACAGACTAGCTTTGCAGGAATTTACAGTCTTTTAACACATCAGCCTATGAAGTGTGAGCTTGACATTCTAAAGACTTAAAAGTAGTACTGTGTCTGCATCTCTAAGCAAGCTCCTCAAAGTGTGCAAAGATTCTTCTACAAAAACAACAACAAAAAAAAACTTTGTTCTAAAAACTATGATTTTTCTGTTAAACTGCTAACCAGAGAAAAAAACTTTACTCCTTGGCAGAGCAGACAGAAAATGCAACAAGGACGGCCAATCTCTCATTCATCTGGACCCTAGTGACCTCAGAGGGAAGATCATCAAATTCCATAGGCCCGGTTTGCCACAGTAGCTTACTTAACACGTATGATGTCCGAGCACACACCATTCCGTTCGACCATCAGAGAAGAGAAGCAGAGCATGTATCCCATACATAAATGAAGTAAAGATGAACTGCTACAACCAAAAAATGAATGCTTTTATCATTCATAGATGGTCTACATGTAAAGTAATACAAACATCCAGGGCATTGCAGCAGTCAAAATCTTGTTGGGCGACAATACTAGATGCCTTGCCTTTGTTTCCGAAAAACCACAAATCGCATAGACGAGAAAAATTATAAGGAACGTGCTGGGGGTGGAGGGGAGAGATACTTGCCACCAAATGTCCTTTGAGGCAAATACTCATGCTCCACTCCCCCTCCCAGCCACACACAGGACACCACCTAGGTTTTCCCTCCTGCTTCTCTTTTCCTCTTACTCCTCATCTCCCAGAGGCTCCCAAATCCCGCTGCGTCTCTGAACACCCTCTGGGGAAAAATGCCCCCGATCCCGGCACCTTTTCGGCAGGCTCACCCTTCCCTGCCACAAGCACCGACTATCCATCAGGGAGGAACGGTGGCGAGACCCCCAGTCCACGAATGAGTGGGGGACCCTCAAGTGGGCGTGCGCGGCGGACAGGCACGGGCGCCAGGTCCCCGGGAAGGGCCCAGAATGCCTTCTCTGCCCGCCCACCATGTCACTCCCTCTCAACCTGCCTGCTCTCGGGAGAGCTGGGGGCCACGGGTGGACGCTCCAAGCTTCACCCGGGTACCCGCAGCGCCGACGCTACATAAGGTGGAGAAGGGGCAGGGACCCCAAACCCTTTCCGCAGACCGACCGCTGTTCTCTGGTTTCCTGGCAGCTGACGGTGCGAAAATCCAGCCAGGCCTTGAGTACCGCCGCCCCTGGTGCCCAGCCGCACTCACCTGCCGCCGCACTGGGCACGTTTACCCACACCGCTGCCTTTCGGATTTCGGCTCCTCTCTGCAAAATGGCGACAGGCGCGGGGGCGGGAACGACAACCAACCAATCATTCACCGCCTCTTGGAGACTTCTTACCAATGAGCTCCAAGTTCTGTGAGTGACGACACGTCTGACCAATGCCAAGGACAATAAGAGCCTGGGCGGGAGGAGGCCCGCCCCCCGCGACCTAGGCGACGGCACGAAGCTCTGGAAATGCCGGGTTCATCGTCCAATGACAGCTCCCGGCTTCCAGGCAAGACACGCACACATGCCCCACCCCAATGCCGCGCGCGACCAATCAGAAAGGTAAAAGGATTTCCGATTTGCTGCGCCAATCAACTCAGAAAAATCCCTGGGATTGAACTCAACCCGGGAGCATTCGAACCAACCGGGTGGGGGCATGTGGGCGGGGCCAAATTCATTGTGATACTTAAGGAAATTGACCGCGGTTGAGCTAAAAGTAGAAACTAGTTTGGGGCGGTGTCCGGTGTAGGAAATACCCAGACGATGACACCGAATTTAGGCTTAAGGAAAGTTTCCCACTCAGTCTGAAGCTAGACTGAAGCCCTGTCTCTAAACAAACAGATTTTCAACAGTTGGGTAAAATACTAGCCACCTGCACAGTTCAGATGTCACAGTACCAGTCTTCACTTACACTTAATAACTCAGCCGCCCTCAAGGTCAACTTTCTGTCCCGGTCACAGTGACTGTACATATGAAAGTAAACATATAGGAGGTTTTTCTACATAACTCCTTAAAATATTTTTTCTGACTATAAAAACTCACACAAAGTCATTTTTAAAAATACATGAAAAATGGCAGTTCTCACCAGAGAGAGGAAGAGAAGAAAGGGAAGAGAAAAGGAAAAAAATCACCCATCATTCTATCACCTAGAGGGAATCACTGTTATATTTTGGATGATTTCTTTCCAGTCATTCTTCTGAGCAATTTTTACATAGTTCAGATTATGAATACATAAAACTTGGGTTTTTTCCCAGTTACCATTTTAATCTGAGCATTTTCCACATTACTTAACATTTTAACATTTCTTTAAAAAATTGTTAATGTTTATCCATTTTTGAGAGAGAGAGAGAAAGAGCATGAGCAAGGGAGAGGCAGAGAGAGAGGGAGACACAAAATCTACAGCAGGCTCCAGGCTCTGAGAGGTCAGCACAGAGCCCAACATGGGGTTCAAACTCATGAACAGTGAGAACATGACCTGAGCTGAAGTCAGACGCTCAACCCACTGGTCACCCAGGTGCCTCAATATTTTTAACATTTCTGATAGCTGTGGGATATTGCATCACATAGATACACCCTGATTTATTTAATCCTTTTCTAGGAGTTCAATGTTCAGATTGTTTTTAAGTTTTCCATATGAATAATGTTGCAGTGAACTTTTTCCCCAGCATTCCTTGCTATTTTTTTCAGGAAAGAATTCCAGAATTGGAATTGCTGGGTCAAAACATGAAGTTGTTTAAGTCTCAATAATTACACTGCCAAATTATATTCTGAGTAGACTGTACAAACGTACATTCCCATCAACCAACTGAAAACAGTGCTTACTTCATCATCTGGTAAGCTCATTTTAATGTGTTTTGTTTGTTAATAAAAGATCTCATGTTGGTTTTATTTTCATTTCTTTACTTGTTTTTTCCTAAATGTTTACTAATATTTTTATTTCATCTACTACATCTATTCATGTGTTTTTTCTGACTTTTAAGTCAAAGGTGCAAAACTGTTTTGCCAGCAATTATGAAGGTTGCTTAAATGGATTCCTCATAACATGAAAGATGAAATGGCAAAAAGTTTTTTACCTACCATTGTTTATACAATGGAATGTTGGAGCTGATAATAATGGGACTTTATCCCTCCACCCCCAATGACCTGAAAATATGCATTGTTTTCCCAAGATCTACACTAGGACTGTGAATAAAACAAAGTCCCTGCCCACATGGCACTCAATTATTAAAGGTCACACATTAACACAGAGATGTGTTATATAAATATAAACATATTTATGTTTTATGTGTTTATATGCATGTTTTATATATACATATATGTTTCATATATTTTTTACTATAATATACTGGAGAATGTATGGGAGAGGGGCTAGAAGAAAACAGCTCTAATTTACTAGTAAGTGTGTTTACGAGACAAGGTTGTGATTTTAAGTGATTGAGAGAAAATATTAATTTCATAGGGCAAAACTTATTTTTTTTTAATATAAAACTGACAATCAGGAAGAAGTTTTAATTGAGATCATGGTAATTGTCAAGGGGGTTTATCAAGCTCAATTGTGGTGATCCAATAAATAAATTGCTTGTGGTGATGTTGGCTGAGTGGAGTGTTTTTTTAAATAGAAAATATCACTTGTCAATAGAATGTTATTTGTACAGGATGGAAAGTACAGAGTGCTCTTGGGAGAAACAAAGATCATTTCACCCTGAAAAATATCTTATCTGGAGACTGCTTTCCTTTTCTGAGTTAGACTTTAAGATTAGTTAAGAGCATTACTAACTAGTACTCTTGGTAGTGGTAGTTAGTATCTGCTGTGTAACTGCTGGATCTGGTACTGAATGTGTTAGATACTGTACGATAATGATCTGATCTAATTCTCATGTGAAAACATTTAAGTTTAGAGAATCTAAATGTCATAGTACACACACACCACCGCCCCCCAAGTATCACTAACTGTATCCCTCTATTACTATTAATATTATTATTATTAATTTAAGTAATCTCTATGCCCCAACATGGGACTTGAACTCATGACCTTAAGATCAAGTGTTACATGCTTTACCTCCTGAGCCAGCCAGGGACCCCTTATCCCTCTATTCTGGTCACACTTCTACTCAAGAGATGTCTTCTCCCTGTCTTGAAAAACCCTGTTGCACATGTTCACTTACCCCAGAAACAGCCCTCCAGTAAATTAACCCTTAGGAGAAACCTTAAGACACACCTTCACTTTTTCTCTAAAGCCCTCCTGAGAACCACCAGATACACAGTATTGTCATGCCCAGGGAACTGTGGGCTGTGGGCCTCTAGTGTCTTAAGATTCCAGGCATCGCAGCCCTTCCCAGGAGACTCTGACTTCCTTTTTCTCAAAATGCGTCAAAGCTCATAAGACCAATCAATATCTGGGGGGTGCCTGGGTGCCAAGCCGGTTAAGCCCCGGACTCTTGATCTCCGCTTGGGTCATGATCTCACAGTTTGCGAGTTTGAGCCCCATGGTGAGGAGCCTGCTTGGGATTCTGTCTTTCTCTCTGCCCCTCCCCCGCTTGTGCGCCCACCCAGGCTGTCTCTCAAAAAATTAAATAAAACTTAAAAAAAAAAGTCCGATATCTGAATCATCCTTTTTCAAAGAGATGCAAGCAGCTCTCCAGACCCACAATATTAATATGCAGGGTTAGGCAGCCTGGCAAGTGCTTTGGGGCTTGCACTAAAGGATCATCTGGTTTCCATAGCAACATTCATTCCTTTCCATGGAGGATTCTATCATCTCTCCTGCCCACTCAGACTTTCCAGAATAAATTGATTTTTGTGACTATTGGTGTTTGTCCTTGATCCTCCAAAGAGAAAAAGACCTATTCATCCAAAAAACAAAACAAAAAAACACAGAAAGCCAAAAAAAAACCCCAAAAGCCCAATAACAACAAAATCTGACTGCAGCTAGAATACTGCATTGCATCAGCTAGTCTTCCTTTCTTTAAAAATTCCATATCCTTTCTTCATTTTGCTCCGTTACCTAGCCTTAGCCATCATTTTGGAAAACAGGTTTCTCTGACAGAAAACAAACGGATGGCAACTCCATTTTCCTAAAACTGGCTATGATGGGGCTGTAAAATGAAATTTTCAACAAGGCTCCCTTAAGCTTGGGCCATGGGTGGCTGGCCTGTGGGTTATGATTGGAGGGGCAAGAATAAGGATCATTATCCACATATAGAGAGATGTCACAATTTTTGAAATTTCGCCTGTAGCAAGTTGTTTCCTTAGGTAAGGCATTGCTCTCCCCAGCAATATTCTCTTAAATTGCAATTGCATATACTTCTGGGAGGAGTGATATATTAGGTTACTAATGAGGAAAGAACTTGGGAAAGAGATGAGGTGGTGCAGAGGGAAGGGTATAAAAGGGGCCCTGGAGCCCACTTTTATTTGCTTCACATTGATAGCTCCTACAGGAGGGGTGGGTGCAGGTCCTTGTCACTCACATACACACGGCCACTGGAGGATGCTTTCTGACATTTACAATGCAGTGGCGAATTCCCTACACAGCACTGTTTTCTGAAACACCTGCATGCAGTCTTGTTGGAAGATCTTTGAAACCCACGCCTCGAAGTGACTAAAACACCTTTCTGTTCCCCCCTCACCACCATTCATTTAACCCTAGGGTTTCCGCAGACAAAAGGTCGTTTTGTTCTGGGGGACATGGCAAGCACCAAAAACCTGCACTGGTTAATTATATAAACTAGATGACACTGAATCAGTTCATTTCTACCTTGTTTACTATTGCCCTTATTCTTCAAAACACGAAAAGAAAATTTCCCCCAGTTAAATTGTTACAACTGTTAAACCAAAATGTCTATGTAACCCGAAAGTTACTCAGCCCCATTCCAGTGGAATGATGTTTAAGGGTCAGTAATCTGAACATAGAATTATATCCATGCAGTCTTCAAGTATTTGAATCAGGCCTCCACCTATAGATGTTGGTCACCCATCAGGGTAGAACAGGTGATATTGAATTTCACTATCACTTCATTGTCACTGACAGGTCATGGAGTGTACTGGACAGGGTTCCCCAGAGAAACAGACCCAATGGATATATATTGAGATACATATACATATCCATATAAAATAAAAAGATTTATTGGCTCGCTTGTGAGGTTGTGGAGGCTTAGGGAGTCCAAAAATTTGATAAGGGAGGCTGGCAAGTTAGAGATTCAGGGAAGAGTTGCACTTCAAGTCCAAAGGCAGTGTGCCAGGAAACCAGGAAGATGTGATATTGCAGATGAATTTAGAAGGCAGTCTGCTGGAA